TGTTAGGTGGACTAATGCGCCATCTTCGTATTGAAAGCACATTTTTGAAAAACGTAAAAACATTATGAAAAATAAAACATTTAGTGATTGTTAATCAGGAGTCAACTATAATATTTTTGAGTTCAAGAATAAACACACAAACAAATAGAATTATATTGTAGATAGTATTTACTTTTAAGTTGCATAATACATAAAACTAGATCGGAACATTACATTTGATTATTAATAGATACTAGTTATTGATACTAGATATTGTGGTGTCCCTAATTTCTATTTTAACACGTTTATATCGAATTTATTTCTGATTTGCTACGAAATTGTCTTCTTTCAATAAAACTGGACTGCTTAAAATTTCTATTTCATCAAACACTTTAATTTACTAATTTATATTAATATAAAATCATTTCTAATTTCCCGTAGAGTAAGTTATATTTTCAAAAAAATTGAAAATGAAATTTTTTATATATTTTTACCTTTCAAAGGTTTTTGAAAATTTTGGTATACCTTAGAAAATGTGTGTTCGGATACAAATTTTTGTGGACGATTTTGAGAACACGGATCAAGCGATTTTAATAACTCACAAAAGTATGATTTTTATTGTAGTGGAGACGTGCTTATTAGTTGTTGGGAAAGGTAGGTCCCGCCGTTTCAAAGATACGGGTCAAAAAGCGCAAAGAATGGTAATTAAGTTTTTTCAATGGAGCATCCGAATTGAATGGTTCAATTTTTCAAAAATTTAAAAAAACATGTTATTTGTATTGACGTAATGAAGAATGATTTTTTGGAAAGGAGATCAACCGGTTTCGGAGACCTGATAAAAAAGTATAAAAAAGTTTTCAATTTTAATAATAGGTACAAATTTTATTTACATTTTTATAGGTTCCGTAATTTTTCAGTTTACAAAATTATTTAATTTTTTTTTAAAAAAATTTAATTTTCAGTTCGGGAAATTTATATTAATTTTAATATCACTTTAATTGAAAATAGATAACAAATATTTGTTTTTTGAATAATGGGAATATTTGTTCTTAGAAAAGCGGAAGCATTTATCGGAAAACTTTTTTGCTTCACGACAATTTCCAATTATGATAAGCGTGCTATTACATCTTCAATAATAATCAATCTATTTTTCTATTCATTATGCTTTTTTCATTTGAACATTGTCTTTTTAAAACAAGGCCACTGGCTGGAGTTGTCATCTTTATTTTATTCTCTATAGAGTATTCTAACAGCCACGAGTTTTTTCCGACTGCTTCAGCGCGCACTCATCTTTGGAAAACTTTTTTTTATGAAAGCGTTTAAGTAATTAAATCTACGGTTTAATTAAAATTATGGAGTTGTTTGAATACGAAATGGATCATGAATATGAATGTATTGTAACTTTTATATCTGAAGGAACGTTATTTGATTAGAATGGACTGACTCTTTTCAAATACGGTGAATGGACAATTTATTGTAGAATTCATTTACCATCACGGCAAGAAATTTTTTATTGTAAAAAATGCTTAAAGGAATATAAGTCTATGCATATAAATAAAATAAAATTGTATGTTTGTATTAATAGAATAGACGTTTTTTTAATATAAATTGGGCATATAGACCAAATTAACATTTAAAAAAAATCTGTTTGCTTGTGGTAATCTTCGAAACGGCTGGACCGACTTGAATTTAACTTTAACATGCAGGTATCTGTTGTAATTAGTTAAATGGTTATTTTTTTTAATTTGATATAATGAAGTATTTTACTAGATTATATATAAACCAAATTCAGATAGTATGATAAATCAACATTGGACGTAAATCAAATGCCTCTTTAAGCAAACACGCAGATCTATTTACGACGTCTTAGTTGTGTTGATGCATTCTGTGAGTTATCACTTCTATGCAAACCTAAGAAGATTTATAGACCGAGATCCGGAAAATACCTGGAAAATACTTATTATAAATAAATTAAATATATATATATATATATATATATATATATATATATTGAACTGTTATTGTGGGGTTGTTGGTTACTAAACAATACGAGCTGTTCTGTTTACCATTGTCTTGACTTCAGTTGACCTCGTATTTCCTTCGGTATTTATAATTATATAATTTTTGTAATCGTGGTAATGTCATAAATTTTAATTTGTCTGTCTTCTTATGATGAGTTGACGACGATACCAACTTTTTGCTGCTCGGACTTCGTAAATTTGCAAATTCTTTATTGAACTAAATCTTAACTACTTCTTATATACTAAATAATTGTACATGAAACGTGATTCCAAAATCTAACAGCAAGGTCGGAAGAACTTCGGATAACCTTCAAATAGCACGTAGTGCTCTAACACAAACAATAAATAACAAATTAAATTTGTGATTACAAAATAATATATATATATATATATATATATATATATATATATATATATATATATATGAACAGCTATCAGAATTTAAGTTTTATAAACTTATTAGACTTTATAATACGTCTGTTTCACAGGTTGCTAAATCTAAACAGTTGCCTCATTTCTGGGTGTTAAATATTATTATTATAATTCCTATAATATAGCGAGGGCTATTTTTACTCGAAGCGGGTACGAACCTGGGACATCTGATTTAGATCCAGACGCTCTAGCCCCTTACTCACAAATGAGGACAAATCCAATTTGAGCAAATCCTTTTGAAAATTATACCTAACCATATTTTTTTTATATTTAACAAAAAAATCCATAAAACACTCCTTATTAAACTAGAACAATAAAGAGTTTAACACAGGTACAATTAAAGTTGCATTTTTCAGAAGGTTGAAATTCTTGTCATTACCTTAACAAATACTACCATTTAAACATATCTTGACGATTGCCGAATAAGTAATATAAATAAACCATAGTAAAAAATAAGTCAAAACCATACTATTGCCATAAAAGGTGCATAACTTGTCCAAAATATTAGTAGAAATGTGCCAACTCACTTACTTTCACTTACTTTTTGATTACTTCTATGTCTCATAGTTGGGCAGCCTCCAAACTGTAAATGTTTAGTCAATCGAATATTTCTTTAGTATCCAATATAATTTGTAAGTGGACAAAACTTAGCCGGTGTACGACTGAGGCAGATGTACGACTTGAGTAACCTTACCTTACTGAACATGGTAATTTATATATTTTAATAAATCTCATTAATAGAATAATATTATGAAATGATTTTTGCGTTTTAAAAATTTGCTTATTTCTAGAATGGACTTGCAAAATAAATAAAATTAATAATCAAACTTACGTCATGATATTTATCATATTTTTTTATTTTCCAAACTATTCTAATTTATTTATTTATTAATAAATAGGTTTACTTTGGATTTTTATAATATCTGCCTAAATTATTACCAAAATTAGTAGTTAGTAGATTTGCTATAGGATCCTGCACAATATTGTAATCCTGCCAACGCAATCATTCTCCTTATGGCAGCACAAATTCGCACATTTGTACAGAGTCACAACGCTCTGATCAGACCTAGATTGGTACACAAATATACATGGTAGCTTCATGTCGTGTACAAACAATTCAGATGTTCGTAATATCATCGAATAATCTGAACATTGTACTAATAACATACAGATATGGCATAGTTCGTATTCTGATTTTGTTATGCATCAAACCGAATGCATTACACGATTACTCTATCATGATGGTAATTGAAATATGAAACAATACACTGCCGTGCCTGAGCTGGTGGCAAGCTAATGTTAATGCAGATTTTGATTATCAAATATTTGAATTCAGTAATGATAAATAAATCATTCAATATCTATATTCGGAGGAGTAAAATTTTGAAATATGATGCGTTAATGCGTTTGCAAGTCCATAATAAAACATTGTACAATTTCAAGCCTTCAATATTTATTCATCAGGGCTAGATTATCTGCAAAATCTTCTTTCATTTCTTTCTTAAGGGGGTTGTTCGTTTTTTTTCTACAAAAAATGCAAGGTATGTGTTTTTGTTTTTCTCAAAATGTATTTATCGTGGAGCTCGTTGTTTGCGTTTTTTTCAACAAAAATTACAAAGTCATAGAATATTACGAAATTTTCTTTTTTTTCGCTGTCATTTTTTAACCAGGGCGGAGGGGCGGGTCGCTAAATGCGGCCTTGCAAAATCGGTCTCTTTTTCGGCGCCACAGATAAATCCGTTGCGCATCGCCTAAAACAAAAAAAAGAAACTACGTTGAAGAAGAAGTTTGAATCCAGTCCCCCTACCAAAATGAAAGAAAAAAAGCAAGAAGGAAAAAATGGCAGCTATTTAAAAAAAAGTGTTAAAAAAGGCATTTTTTGGGGGGCGAGAAGCTTCGCAAAATTTTTTTACGTAATGTTATCAGTTTATTTGAGGTAGGGGGACTAGGTATTGCAGTGGTGAACAAATTTAAAAAAAATGCAAGTCAATCCGACTTGTAGTTTTTTTTTTAATTTGTGGCACCGCATTAAAAAAAGCCAATTTGAGAAAAACGTATTTAAAGTTTTTAATATAATTTACTAAATACACCATTTAATTTAATGTACTAAATACACCATGGTGTTCAAAGATGCTGACACATTAAAAAGGTCATGTACATGAGGTATTATAATGAAAAAGATAGCAGCTGGCATACAATAGCTCGCGGAGCTTCGTCAAAAAACTAGATATTGAGATGATTTTTTTTTAAATAATTTTAAGGTGTTTACTTTCATGATATCAAAAAATCTCAAAATCTAAAAAAAATAAATAAAACCGAACAACCCCCTTAAATAATCTGGCTAACTGGCGTGTATTTGTGAAGAACTGGATGTTGAACAATTTGTAACTTTTAAATTGGGCTGCAATTCGTATTTTAGTATGAAATTATAATAACGTGACTACTATTACTTCTATTCAGACTATTATAATGATTAAACCTTACTTTTTACGAATTTAATATTTTATACAAATTTTGATCTAGGGTGAATATTTTTTCAATATATATTTACTCTTAATTCTAGTTAATATGGGCGATGTGAACCCAATTGTCTTAGACAATGGTACAGGATTCTGCAGGGCTGGTTTTGCAGGCAGTGAACAACCTTTCATCTCTGGTCGCTGCGCCGTGGGCCATTCATTCGGAACTACATCAGACGTCGATCAGCCGTCGAGTACATGTTTTGTGGGCAAGGATCTCGTATCCAAAAGACCCAATGTGCGAATATCATACCCAATGAAGAACGGAATTGTCACAGAATGGGAGCACATGCAATGCATATGGGAACATATCTTTCTGAATGAAATGAAAGTAGACCCATCAAATCATTCTATTTTGATTACTGAAGCTCCACTAAATCCCAAATCAAACCGTGAAACCATGGCGGAAGTGATGTTTGATATATTCAATGTTCCTGCATTATATGTTGCTATACCTTCCGTGCTTACTTTATATTCATTATCACGCACTTCTGGACTGGTTTTGGATTGTGGAGAGGGTGTGACTTCAGTTGTACCAATACAAGATGGTTACGCTTTAGCGCACGCCATAATGCGACAAAACCTTGCTGGACGGGATGTAACACATTACCTCGGACATCTGCTTCGGAGTCACACAATGCAATTTCCTGGTCATGACAAAGAGGAGATAATACGAGAATTAAAAGAAGCTATGAGTTACCTCAAACCCAAAGCGTGCGAAGTGACATCTACTTCTGATCTAATGGCTACTTACATCCTACCCGATGGCAATATGATCAAATTAGGTTGTGAACGTTTCCAATGTGCCGAGGCCTTATTCAACCCTTCCCTAATGGGAGTTGAGGCTTACGGGGTGCATGAATTAGTGCATAGCTCTGTTGCGAAATGCGATACCGACATTCGGAGAAATTTATTTGCCAATGTTATATTGACCGGGGGCAGCACGATCATTTCAGGTTTCGATTGCAGAATACATGGTGATTTATCTCGCATGGCGCCTCCCAGTGTCAAAGTCGAGATTGTGACGCCGAGCGAAAGACCATGTTCTGCCTGGATCGGGGGGTCAATACTGGCATCACTTTCGTTATTTGGAAATATGTGCATAACTAAGAAAGAATACGAAGAATCTGGGTCTGGAATTTTACATACGCTTTTGTAATCTGTTTAATACCGGAAGTTATTTTTTTAAGAATAAATATTTGTTAAATTGTTTATTTGTAATGTTTTGCTATAGAAATACATTTTATAATATAAAAAATAATTGATATATCTCAATTGGTTTTCAAACTTGAGAGCAATACTTCTTAATGAATACCGAAAATCAATATGCTTTTCTGAATTTTTTGTAATCTAAATAATATAGAAAAGATTGTCAGGATGCTAACATCAATTATTATACTTACTTATTTCATAAATCCAATTTTCATAGTAATACAAATTATAGTGAAATATAGATTATTTGTATTTTGCGCATTAGATTTAAAAAACGAATTAATTAACATTTGAAAATAATTTTGAATAAGGTAGAAAATGGTTCTAAATGTAAACAATAATTTAATCCATCGATAATACTGTACCTTAATAACACGGTTTCAGCAACGAGATATTATAAATGACATTAATATGCCGATTCTGCCGCACGATACGACAGGACCATGTTACGCTCCAACTTCCATACATTATGCTACTGAATCATATTGAATACTGCCAAAATGCCACGCATTCAGGCGTTTTATACATAAACTGTAAAGTCAATCTTATGTTATGAATCTGGTTCAAAAAGAACCTGTTATCTAAGATCATTTTTCATAACATAGCCTTGCCATAACATATGTATTATTGTCGTCTCTTTCAAGTGTGATATTTTTATATACTACCAGTGTACGACATCTGTTTTAAGTGTCAGAACTCTTTACAGAACATTGATCTTTCTAAAAGAAGATCTGCTTTTTTTTCTCTCAAAAATAGGTGTTAAACCTATAGCTTTCATTTTCAAGCTATTTATAATATTCTTATATGAAATCTTCAATTCAATGAAAATAGTTTATAATGCATCATGTCTTTTGTTTGTAATATTGGTTCTTATATAACGTGGTATGAATGCCGCGATTTGTAGTATATCTGGGTTTTTTATAGCACGGATTCCATATCACGCAATAAAAATTTCTAACCACTCAATATCATTTTTTTAAAATTTATTTAAACAGCGATCAGAACTTATGGGTTCTATAAGCTGTTGTGATTAATATCTTACAAACTACGTTTGTTTTTATTATAGATGGCAACCCAAACAGTTGTCTTATCTCTATGTGCAGAATTTTTATTATTACAATTACTGTAATAGTGATGCATTTAATTGGTGCAGCAATACCGTATTAGGGCTGTTTTCACTTGGAAACATATTGCTATCTATATTTCCAAGTGAAAATCGTTATCACTGCTGCCTGACAACAGGCTGCTCGAAGTGGGGATCAAACCTGGGACCCCTGATTCAGGTCCAGTCTTTCTAGCCACTTACCTACAGGCGAGCCCTAATATCATTTATTGGAGATTTTTTTTCTGCATCTTTGAAACCGCTGCCCGAAAACTTCATCAATACAAGTGAAATGTTTTTAAACATTATGCAAATCTGACTATGGGTTCTATGAAAAATTGAATTGTCATCTTCGTGTACTTTTTTTCCATATCTTCGAAACAGCTGGACCTGTCTCCGCAAAAAACTAATCAGCACGTCTGCGCATTAATGTATATCAAAGGTTTTTTGAATTATTCAAACGGTTGATCCGTGCTTTCAAAATCATAGATAAAAATTGTATCCAAACCTACACACATACATAATACATATGCACGCATACATCCATTTTCTCTAAAGTAAGCAAACATGTTTATAAACTTTCGAAACATAAAAATTTGCAAAGAATTTAAAATGAAATGATTACTAAAACTTACTCTACATAAAGGTATTATTTGAATAGCATTTAGCAATAGTTGATATTTATAATATATGATTTGTAATGTATTAGAATTGTTTCATATTGTTACAAATGAGTCATGCAGACAAGGGAAGTAATAATAGTTCTTAAGTTGCAAACCTTGAAAACTTTTGATTAAACACCCGAATCCGTATAATACAATTCAAAAATCATACTCTACAAATTCAATCTGGAAATGATTAATGCAATACTTGGAAACTTGGGAAAAGTTTGCACAAACTCAATGACCTCATCGTTTTCTAATAATCGACGGCACAGTTGCTCAGCAGGATTTCCACGCAATTTGCAATACTGTCACCAGTAATCCGAACGAGGACTAACTTTGCAACGAACTTTACCGTGATCTGCAATGGTGTCTCGAATTTCTCCTTCGCTAACAACTATCTTTGTACTGATGAATAGTTAAGCATTGCATTTGTCTGACACGAAGCGAACGAGTTGCATGTTTTGTTCGAACGTCGGCAGCATCTGCTCCTCGAGAAAAGGATATTTGTGCAAATGGTTATGAATAGTTTGAATTCTATATTTTTTGTTCATAAAGATAATAAATTTGAAGGATAAACTCCATTTAAATAAATTGATAATAATACTTCATACTCGCAGTAAATGAAAGATCCATTTGATTGTAAGACTTGTTTCAAAGATAAAAGCTTTCACTAATACTACAAGAAAACAGACATTATGAAACCAATTCTGCGGCAAGAGCCATTAACACAGCGTTTTTATAGCAACTCTATCTTATCTTTCTTTCTTTATACTGAAATACCATCTATTTTCTGTACTCCAAGTTGCCTCTTACGCGGATTGAACCCGTGACCTCCATGTGGTAGTCGCGCATCTTAACCACTTCTCTAATTGAATTTCCCCTTAATGATATATTATGAGATATACTCTTATTTCCATGGTGTTTTCACTAACTTATCGTAAATAATACCAGTAACTCGACGACACGCGAAGAAAGACGAAACATTGTAGCGCCGCGGCGATCCAGTGGTTACATGGTTGCTTCCCACGCGATTGACCTGGATTGGACTTTTGGAAGAAAAAATGTAGGGTAGTCAAGCAGTAGTGATATCGGTTTTAATTTGAACAAGTGAAAATAGCCCGCATCCGGCATTGTTGCATCAATAAATTATTGGTTCTGTTACTTATCACAAAGAGATGAGACAAGTGTTCGGTTTGATTGATGTTCAAAAACAATAATAGCTAGTGGTGTATAGCATCGTGCATTAAGGCCAATTGCTGGAACTTCTCTACCTTAAAAATTTTTTTTTTGAAATTTGAAAGTAAGAAAACAAAAACAAATTTATTTCGCCAAAAGCAATCGTTTTGTCAACACAAACAGAAAGTTTTTCAAATCATTCAAATCGGATGCTTATTTCTCTCAAAAACTGTAATTTTTTGCACATTTAGCTTTATATCTCCCAAACGGCTGAAATTGCCTTAGCTAAAATCTAATCATCTTCTCCCCAATATTGCAAATTGAATGTTTTTTGGATTATTCAAATCGGTTGATCCGTTCTCTTAAAAACTTTTTTAGCACTTCTGTCTCCATATCGTCGAAGCCGCTGGACCTGTCTTAGCTAAAAACTAATCAGCTCGTCTCCTCATCAACAGGAATCGAATGTTTTTTTAACCATTCAAATCGGTTAATCCGTACGCCCGAACACAAACATACACACGTATACACACTATCATTTTTCTGAGGTATGCCAAAATGTTCAGAAACATCTGAAACGTAAAAATATGCAAAAAGTTTCATTTTCGATTTTTTGGCTCATTACTATAACTTACCCTACGGGAAGTTAATAAGAAAAGCTTTGGAATAATAGACTGCCAATATTTCAAAATAAAATCGTCTAAATTTTTAAATTTTCTAAATCTCAATTCGACACTACGTTGGCTATTTACACATATTGGACTGTTTTTGCAAATTGCTTTACGGCAAAGTGCCACGTACACATAGTTACAACTTGATATTTGAGCTTATTCATTCTATTAATTTGTGTTGATTAATATATGTGAAAAAAGATTTTGTTGTTGCCTTTATTTTTTATTTTCATTATTATTGATTGGTTAATTAAATCATTTCGAAAAGAGAAATATTTCAAGTAGACAGTATGATTTGCTAATTTTGTATAATTATTTTAGAGAATTTTCAAAGAAATATAGAAAATAAATGCATGTTTCGTATACATAGTTCGATATTTTTTGATAACGCCCATATCGATTTTAAGTTTTTATTATTAATATAACTAATAATATATAACAGTTATAACTATTATTTATATTTTTTTAAAATAAAAAATGTAAATAGGAAAAATTAGTTAATTATATTGCATGAATGTTTTGTATATTATAATAACTCAAGATGATTAATGTTATGTTTTCAACCGTCATGTCGATTTATAGATAATTTGACCAATTATGAATTTTCTGTAAATAATGTTAAACACGCAATTCAAAATTTTGAATTGTTGTACTATATAAGTATAATTTATCATCCTAACTAAAGGCTGCAATACAAATTCATTACCATTAGAAATGGCTGCCTTTGACACATATTACTTGATATATTGTATTTGCTTTGTAATAATATTCAATGCTAGTTACATGATCCCATATTATATGTTTAGATTAGAATAATAAACGACATAATGAGTTAGGATATATCGTAATGATAAGCTAAACACTGAAATTTCTATAAATTAATGTCATTTTAATACAAACCAGTTTCGAAATTTAATAAAATAAAACTAAAAACTTTGTTTGCCATATTTGAAATAAACATTTAAATTAAAGAAATTTTGACAAATTTTGTTTTCTCACAAATGTTTTCATCTTCTGTCTTTTATATATTATGATCATTATAATTTTAATCATATTTGTATTTTTTTTATAAAATGTTGTTCAATGAAAATTCACAATATTTTTATTTCAATTGGCTTTTTGACTTGTTTTGAAAATAATTCTTGTATGAATTAGGATCATGTTTGTTCAATAATACCTAAATCATTTGACAAAACAAACTATCAAGTTTAGTAAATTTGCTAGCAAACGTTTCTCAATTTATGATAATCTTTTCAAACTCCAGATCTTTACAAGTCCCTCATGAATTAATATATACATTTTTTATTATTTCTATATCCAGAAGTTCACGCAAATT